CCCGGACCGGGGCACGAACCCGCGTCCCCTGCATCGGCAGGCGGACTCTCAACCACTGCACCACCAGGGAAGCCCTATCATCCCCATTTTACAGAAGAAAAAACTATGTCCAGGCCAGAGGCAGTGTGTGTTGCTGTCAGGATTCATATCCAGGCCAACTGGACGCTAAAACCCAGGCTATTACATTCTCCACATCATTTTATTTTCTTACACTCTAAATTGTGTTGCTTTATTTTCTTGACTGGAGTAAAAACTCCTTGGCAATCATGGTCCATGTCATATAATTTTCTGTATTTTCCTCTGTACCTATACCCATTATTTAGTGCCCTAAATCAATTTACTGGTTAATCAATTATTAAATGACATTAAATTGTCAAAACTGTTATGGTCAAGGAACAGAATACCCATATAATTTAATAAATTATTAACAGAAAATTACTATTTCTAGCTTAGTATTTTTCAAATAATTCATAGTGAAAGAAAATATAGTTCACATAATTATCCTTTCAGTCAAGATGCACCTCAGGATCTGAAAGTGCCTTTGAGACATTACAATAAATATCAAGTCACTTAGAGGGGAGACCTCATAGTTGAACTTAGTAGATGCTGATCAGTGAGGTACTTACATTGATTGCCTGACCCGTCTTTTGAATGAATAATACTTTTATAATGAACTTATAACGGTGGAACCCAAATTCTTTGACTGCTAACAATATGCGATCTGCTAATTCAAGCGACAAGTGAGAGAAGACTTTGTCATCATATTTGACATCTTTAAGATTTTCCTTTAAAAAAATTAAGAAAAATATTTTAATTTTCAAACCAAATATATTCTAAACAAAAATTGAAGTAGAAAATGTGCCTGATTAATACATAACTTTTTGAAAATATACATATTTCTAACCAAATAATATTAAATGGTTGATATGTTTACCAATTTATTTCAATAATAATTTTGAAGAAAATTTAGTTTTATTTATTTATTTATTTTTTAACATTTGGCTGCATTGGGTCTTTGTTGCTGTGCGTGGGCTTGCTCTAGTTGCAGGGAGCAGGGGCTACTCTTTGTTGTGGTGCGCGGGCCTCTCATTGCGGTGGCTTCTCTTGTTGCAGAGCATGGGCTCTAGGCATGCGGGCTTCAGTAGTTGTGGCACGCGGGCTCAGTAATTATGGTTCACGGGCTCTAGAGCACAGGCTCAGTAGTTGTGGCACATGGGTTTAGTTGCTCCACGGCATGTGGAATCTTCCCAGACCAGGACTTGAACCCGTGTCCCCTGAATTGGCAGGTGGATCCTTAACCACTGCACCACCAGGGAGGCCCTAGTTTGGTTTTTAAATTATGTTCAATTGCCCTTCATTAGCAACCCTTAAGCTTAAGTTTTCCTTTACTAGATTACTGTGCCAAGCAGTTATTAGGGAGACACAAGAGGAATTTTAAAACAAAGCTTCTGGGAATTCTTAGGTAGAGAATCTTAAATGTTTTTCAAATTTACGTATTTGCTAAAATTCAGGAGCAGAGCCTGCATTATGTTATTCCTGTCTCTTTTTTTGGCCACATGGCACGTGGGATCTTAGTTCCCTGACCAGGGATCAAACCCACACCCCCTGCATTGGAAGGGCAGAGTCTTAACCACTGGACAACCAGGGAAGTCCCTATTCCTGTCTTCTTGTCTCCACAAATTAAAGGCCACTTCTTTCTAATCCTGCTTCTATGGCTTCTCACTCTACTGCTTTTTTCTGTGGCCTCCAGGAGAATATCAAGGAAATCAAAGATTTCTCATGTTTGTTACTAAATTAATATATAGCTGGGGGCAGGCGGGAAGACAGATGTGGGACATGAAGGACTACATTTTCCTACAAACCATAAGCAGACCTGAACCAGCTGGGGAGCAGGTGGCACCTGGCTTTGATTAACTGACTCAGACCAATGATAAATTAACCAATGTTCTGAGTTCTAATGACAACAAATGGATGCCTACCTGGTAATTTTATAGGCAAGTAAAACCAAATAAATTACCCAGTTTTTGGTTTTGGTTCCCTTCTAGAATGCTTCTGGATCTAAACTGGGTCTAGAAGAATTTAGTTCCTTCAGGCAATTGGCTCAATCTTCTGGACACTTAGAGACATCCATTCTCCCTTCTGAATCTGCCTGAGATCCCAGGCTTTATCTACATAAGTGTTCATTTTTAATAAATAAAGAGCACGTGCTATAGGAAGATACCTATAAGCTCCATCAGTATGTACTGTTTCTGTGTCTAGAACTGTGTTCAATGTTCCCTAAACGCAAAGGAAAATCCCCGGCCTCTCTATGACCCCTAGCCTTCCACCTATATTTCCAATAAGCTGTTCCAGGCCCCATCATGCTCAATGCAATTGTATAAGCTATCACATGCAAATACAATTTGAAATTCTACTATATTCAATAGACTTGAACTCAGTCTATGTGGTAGGGCTGAGTGAGAGACACACCAAAATGTATACTCAATCACAAATGCTTGCTATTAGTGTTTAGATCAGAGAATTAATAATTATTTTATTGTATGGAATTTATTTCCTGAAGTTATGAGCCATAATATCTTTACCAAATATTATCTGATCATTATTAATTCAGCTTAGAAATGTATCTATGTCCATGGTGGTGGAGGGAGGTTGGAGGGTGGGTTTCCTAAATATTCTCCTGTATTAATAAAGGTTAATTCATTTAAGAATTAACTTTGATACAATTAAAGGGACATTAATCATTTACACAGAATAAACTAAATCTATGCTTTCTTCCCAATAGCTAGCTTACATCAGTTATTACTAAAGGAGTGCATCTTATAAATTAGAGGTGGGGGAGGGAGATTAGGCTGGGTAGAGTCCCACAAAGGGAATCTGGCCATCAGAAAAATCCTGGGTGCCTGGTGCCCAAAGGTGAAAAGGGGATTCAGAAAAAATGATCCCTTAAACAAACATTCTATAATTAAAAAGTTTTTAATTTGGCCCTTTATTAGGAAAGATGGTGAAGGGAATTCTTTCCATCTGAACCATGTAGTCTTCAGATACCAACAGTAGTATAATTAATATTGGCATTGGTATTACAGTATTAATTTTGTAAAATTGAAGCAGCTTTGTTGGACTAGCCTGAAAACATGTGTCTGAGTTTCAAACTGTCTTAAATGAACTTTAGATTCCAGCTGGTTTAATGAAGAAAACCCATGCATAAATTGGGGACTCTGCCTGTTCTTAAGATGTCTTAGTGTCATCATGAATCAATTTTTCACACATATTCAATATGGGTTTTTCAATTCATTCCTCCAAATATGGGAGACACATGGAACCTGAAGGATAAATAATTTATGGATAATTAAGAATTAAATGAAATAGCAAAAGAATATTCCTTTTGGTCTAGCTTTAATCATAGCATCAACATAAGATTATTGATTATGACTCCAAAGTACTTTCATATTTTCAGAGATAAAAGCTACAAAAAAATCAATCAGGGTAACTATACTGCCATAAATCTTAATATAGTTTATCAAACCCCCAAAGCTAAGATATTGCTATCATATATATCTATCAACCTACCTTTAATATCTGCTGGACTTTCGTTTCTACCGAGTAAGCCTGGAATTTTTTCAATGGCTCCATTCTATATGAATTAGCAAACTTTAGTTTTGCCAGGGCACTCTTCCATTCTTTACCTATGTCAGCAATTGAGTCATCAAATGGTGGCTCTACGTACTGAACATCATGAATTGATTCTCTCAGTCTTTCTCTTAAAATCTGTGCATACTGAAAGGAGGGAGAGAGAGACAGAGAGAGATTACTTTTTTAATTGTAAAATGAAATTTCGTTTTTAAGAACCCTGGTGCAATGGGACAGGACTGACACAAAGCTTGGAAATCCATTATAAGACTTCAATGATTATGTGGTTGCTAAATCCTAGATTCACTCCTGGCTATCAATTTGGTAAAAGAAGAAAAAAGAATATAGCTATCATCTATCTATTTATCTATAAACACAAATACACACAAACACAAATTTGAATGCATATATTTAGAACATCCATGGAAGATGCCAAAGAACTAGAAACAAGAGTGGCCCCTGAGAGGGCAACTGAGTGGCTAGAAGACTGGTATGTAAGGAAAACCTTTCATGTTCCCTGCCCTGATATTATGAAAATATTATCCTTTATTGTCTTCTTATAATTTTAATTATTTTATCTTTGAATAAATAATACAATTATTTACATAACACATTTGTAAGTCTTAAATTGAAAAGACAACAAAAGTGTATTAATTTGGTATATACATCTTTCTGTGCTTTTTACATTCAACATTTATTGCATGACATTCAACCTGTCTTAAAGAACTACTTATTTAGTGGCTACTATGGTTCAGTTAAGTACTCTAGGCTCTGAAGTTACAGTGGTAAACTTCATTATAATAACCAGGAATTAATAGTTTTACTTGTATTAACTCATAATCAAGGACTCTGCACTCATGGAGTTATCCTTCTAGTGGGGAGGAGGACTGATAGACAATAAAAACGTATATAGCGAAATGAATAAGCCAATTTAAATAGTGGTAATTGCTATACAAATAAAACCACATGACTTGATAGAAACTCATCATGAGGGCCTAATTTGGACTGAATAATTGGAGAAGTCCCTTCAGTCCGGTTTGGGCTGAAGTCTAAAAGGAACAGGAAATAGGAAGGACAAAGAACATGTTCTGAGAATAGACGTGTGTTTGGTGTGTCTGGATGGTTTAGAGTGAGGAAAATAGTAGTAACAGAATAAGGTTAAAAAGGTATCATGGGGCTTCTCTGGTGCCAATGCAGGGAAGATGGGTTCGAGCCCTGGTGTGGGAAGATCCCACTTGCCGTGGAGCAACTAAGCTCATGCGCCACAACTACTGATCCCGCGCACCTAGAGCCCGTGCTCCGCAACAAGAGAAGCCACCGCAATGAGAAGCCCACGCACCGCAATGAAGAGTAGCCCCCACTGGCCGCATCTAGAGAAAGCCCACGCGTAGCAACGAAGACGCAACGCAGCCAAATATAAATAAATAAAATAAATACATTAAAAACAAAAAGGGGGCTTCCCTGGTGGCGCAGTGCTTGAGAGTCCGCCTGCCGATGCAGGAGACGCGGGTTCGTGCCCCGTTTCGGGAAGATCCCACATGCCGCGGAGCGGCTGGGCCCGTGAGCCATGGCCACTGAGCCTGCGCGTCCGGAGCCTGTGCTCCGCAAATGGGAGAGGCCACAACAGTGAGAGGCCCGCATAACGCAAGAAAAAAAAAAACAAAAAAACAAAACAAACAAAAAAAAACAAAAAGGTATCATGTAGGACTAAGTAGAATTTGAAAAGGAATTTGAAATTTATTCTCAGAACAATGAGGAACCATTGGAAGGACTTAAACGGACAAGTGATATTTTCTAATTTACAGTTTTAAAAGATTATTGTGGCTGCTGTATGGTGAATAGATTATAGGGAGATCAGGGTCTGAGGTAATAATTTATAGTTTAAAATACTTGTTTGCAAATAATGTTAATGATAAATAACTTCATAACTGTACAATCGCTTTTCAAACCAGGAACATGGTTCGCTTCTGCATTTACAAAAGAACTTTTATTTGCAATTAACTTTTTATATTACAAAAATTTCTTTCAATTTATTCTGAAGCATTAATTCCTTTGATATTCTTTCAATGTCCCATTTAAGGTGATTTAAAAACACATTGTATGTTTTTAGGAGCTGTGTAACATAAAAATACCATTGTTCCCTACCAAAATTTTATTAATTTTAAAGTTGATTACATCTTGATTTTCCTACAGTTCTACATATTTCTATCACTCCTCTTCATTTTTCACACCTTACTTCATAGACCAGTAGTTTAAAATGTATACATTAAACATCATATTCCCAGGAATATTATGGGAAAATATTTATTCTCTACCATTGATGTTTCTATGTGGCAGAAACTGTTATTGGAGCAATACTTCCCCTTCTTTGCCCTCTGATTTGCTCCTCTCTGAGGGAGTTTATGTGATAAGCAAGTTAGGAAGAGGAAGAGCATGTTTAGTGCAGAATCTCCCCACCTCTCCTCTTGACATCTAATTATAAGAAGTACATATTTCCTGTTCCACCACTGCATATGCTTTACAGAGATAGGACATCATCTTAGATATATGTCATCATCCAGCTAGACCCATGACTGGGTGAGCTGCTTTAATTTACGTAGAAATGTTACCAATTTCTACCCTATTTTTCATCCCTAATGGTTTGTTAATATGGTGAGTTACATTGATTTTTGAATGTTAAACCAACCTTGCATTCCTGGAATAAACCACACTTGAGCATATTATTATTATTATTTTACTGAAGTTTGTACCTTTTAACCCCCTTCACCCATTTTGCCCACCCTCCAGCCCTTTCCCCACACCCCAACCTCTGGCAACCACCAATCTGTTCTGTGCATCTGTGAGCTTCCACATATGAGAGATCATATGGCATGTCTTTCTCTGACATTTCATTTAACATAATGCACTTGAGACACGTCCATGTTTTTGCAAATGGCAAGATTTCTCTTTTTTGTATATATACACCATATCTTCTTTATTCATTCATTCTTCATTGGACATTCAGGTCATTTCCATCGAAAATAATGCTGCAATGAACATGGGGGTGCATATATCTTTTTGAATTAGTGTTTTTGTTTTCTTCAGATAAACACCCAGAAGTGGAATTACTGGATCACATGGTGGTCCTATTTGTAACTTTTTGAGGAAACTCTCTACTATTTTCCATAGTGGCTGCATGAATTTACATTCCCACCAACAGTGCACAAATGTTCTCTTTTCTCTACATCCTCACCAACACTTATCTCTTGTCTTTTTGATAACAGCCATTCTAACAGTTGTGAGTTTGGATATGAAACTTTCCTGATGATTAGTAATGTTGAGCATCTTTTCATGTACCTGTTGGCCATCTGTATGTCTTCTTTGGAAAAATATCTATTCAGATCTTCTGCCCACTTTTTTCATCAGATTTTTTTTTTTGGATTTGGAATTGGAATTTTGATAGGGATTGTATTATATTAAATCTGTAGGTTCTTTTGATACCATGGAAATTTTAACAATATTAATTCTTCCAATCCATGAGCATGAAATATATTTCTATTAATGTCTTCAATTTTTTTTCATCAATGTCTTACAGTTTTCAGTGGACAGGTCTTTCACCTCCTTGGTTAAATTTATTTCTAAGTATTTTATTCTTTTTGATGCAATCGTAAATGAGATTGTTTACTTAACTTTCTGATAGTTCATTATTAGTACATAGAAACCCAACAGAATTTCTTATATTGATTTTGTATCCTGCCACTATACTGGATTTGTTTTTTAGTTCTAATGTTTTTTTTTTTTTTTGGTAGAGTCTTTAGGATTTTCTATGTATAATATCATGTCATATACAAAAAGCAACAATTTTGCTTCTTCCTTTCCAATTTGAATGCCTTTCTTTTTCTTACCTAATTGTTCTGTCTAGAAATTCCAGGACTATGTGAATAAAAACAGCAAAAGTGGGCACCCTTGTCTTTTTCCTGATCTTACAGAAAAAGCTTAGTTTTTCACTATTATGATGTTAGCTGTAGGCTTTTGATATACAGCCTTTATTATGTTGAGGTACATTCCCTCTATAACCACTTTGTTGAGTGGTTAAATGGGTGTTAATTTTTGTCAAATCTTTTTGTGCATCTATTTGAATGATGAGATTTTTTTTTTTGATCATGAGATTTTTATCCTTCATTTTGTTAATGTGGTGTATCACACTGATTGATTTGCAGATGTTGAACCATCCTTGCATCCCTGGAATAAACTCCCTTTGATCATGGTGTATTATCTCTTTAATGTGCTATTGAATTCAGTTTGCTAATATTTTGTTGAGGATTTTTCCATCTATGTTCATCAGGAATACTGGCCTATAATTTTCTTTTCTTGTGGTGTCCTTGGCTGGTTTTGGTATTAGGGTAATGCTGGCCTTGAAAATGAGTTTGGAAGTGTTCCCTCCACTTCTATTTTTTTGGAAGAGTTTGAGAAGGATTGGTATTCTTATTTTAATATTTGGTAGAATCCACCAGTGAGGCCATCTGATCCTGAACTTTTGTTTTAGGTAGGTTTTTCATTACTGTTTCAATCTCCTCACTAGTAAGCAGTCAATTCAGATTTTTTCTTTCTTCATGACTCAGTCTTGTAAGGTTGTATGTTTCTAGGAGTTTATCCATTTCTTCTAGGTTGTCCAACTAGTTGGCATAGTGATCTCTTATGGTCTTTTGTATTTCTGTGGTATCAATTTTAATTTCTTCTCTTTAATTTCTGATTTTATTTATTTGAGTTTTCTCTCAAGTCTTGGTCAGTTTGTCCCCTCTCCTCACTTGGGGACTCCAAAGACAATAAAAGTTTTGCCTGAAATTTTCCCATAGCTCATTTCAGATTTTCTATTGCTGTCTCTAAATTTACTAAGCCTGCTCTGCAGTGTCAAATCTGCTGTTAATTCCACTCAGTTTATTTTACATTTCCAACATTATATTTTTCATCTGTAGAGGTTGGATTTGGATTTACCATGCTTAATCTCTTCTGATTTTTTTTTAAAAAATTTATTTATTTGGCTGTGCCCAAGTCTTAGCTGCAGCAGGCAGGATCTTTGTTGCCACAGGCAGGATCTTTGTTGCCACATGTAGGATCTTCAATGAGGCATGCAGAATCCTTATTTGCAGCATGCAGGATCCTTAGTTGCAGCATGTGGGATCTAGTTCCCCGATCAGGGATCGAACCCGGACCCCCTGCATTGGGAGCATGGAGTCTTAACCACTGGACCACCAGGGAAGTTCCTCTCCTCATTCTTGAACAGAACATAATATTAACTCTTTTATAATATCAGCATTTTATAACTGCTTTAATGTGATGAAAACTAATATAATACAATAGCTGTTTTATAATAACCGCTTTAGTGTCCTTTTATACTATTTCTATCTTTTTATCATTTCTGGGTGTTTTGTTTCTTCTCTCCATTTTGAGTTGTACTATTCTGCTTCTTTGAAGGTATGCTAATTAAATGCCAGATATTGTGAATCTTACCTTCTGTTTTTGCTGTATATTTTTGTATTCCCACATGCATTCTTGAGCTTTCTTCTAGAATGCAGTAACTTGGAAACATTGTAAACCTCTCGAGGCGTGTCTTTAAGCTTTGATAGGCCGAACTAGAGAAAACCCTAAGTCTAGGGTTTTTTTCCCCCAATTCTCAGACAATACACTCCTTAGCACTCTAACCAATGCCCTATGATTTACATGGTTTTCCACTCTTACTGGTGGGGGGAAAAAAATCTATTTTGTGTGAGTCCAAGGATTTTTTTCTGTTACTTTTGGGTGGTTCTTTCTCTAGCCACACCTGACTTCCTCAGCAGATGCCCTGATGTACTAAGCTGAAGACCTGAGGAAAATCCTCTGCAGATCTTGGGAACTGTTTGTACAGCTCTCTCCTCTCTAATATCTGCTCTTATATCACCCTGACCTACCCTGACTCCCAAATCATTCTCAACTAAGGGAGACATCTCCATAAGGTGTGGGCTGGAAGCCCTCACCAGGCAGTACATTAGGGGAAATCTTGGGGCTCACCTTTCTTGTTTGTCATCTCTCAAAGATCACAATCCTGTCTTGCCTTACATCCAGCCAGTGGAAATAAGTACTTCATACATTTTGTGTAATTTTCTGTAGTTTCTGGTAGGAGTTACTCCATGTTGGCTTCTAGTATAAGTCCTTAATCAGAAATAAACCTGCTGTTTTAATCATCTGTCAGACTGCTTTATGTTTTAGTTGTGGAAGAGAAGCATTATAGCTCCCCAAACCTCTTAAAAATGAAATCTTTATTTTATTCTTTTACATTAATAGAATGCTTCTCCAGGGTACTGCCATCTTCTTTTCCTCTCACAATACACCCAAGGAATACAACTATATTATATCATTAACAGTGGCTCTCAACTGCAATGAATTCCTTGGGGATAGGGCATGCATTTGTGGTTTAAAAATAACAATCAGAGATTCTAATATGCTGAAAACTCACATCTCTGCCATTTCTTCCATATATATATTGGCTTTCTGATTTAGTATTCTCTTTATTAAGAGTATTTTATCTCTTAATTAAGGAAGAATCTTTGTAGTCACTTCCAAAAATTAGAAATAGGCTTTACATATGAAGAACTTTTTGGTATCTACTAAAACAATCTGAGTTTAATTATTTAACCTATTGATATGGCATTTCCTTATGTTGAGCCTATAATCCTAGAAAAAAAAGAGCATGGTCATGAGATGCCATTACATTAATGTATTTCTAAAACCTGTTTGCTAGTATTAAAGATTTTCAAATGTACGTAGACAAGTGAGACTAACCAAGTTTTCAATTTTCAGTAATTTGTTTATGGTTTTGGAATCTTTGGTTGCAAGCAATAAGCACGGAATCTTGTTAACCATATACATAACTAATTGGAAAGATATGGAGTAGCTCACAGAATGGAAGAGAAGCCTAGAGAGTCTGACACTTGAGGCAGTTCAGTATGCCACCTTCAATTTAAATTAATCTCAACCATTTTCTTTAATTATTACAGGAAGAGTTCATCTAATCAGCCTAGTTTTGGTCTCTTCCTCACCACAAAGTTAAGGAAGGTGACTGACAGTCCCACCAAAGCTCTATCCAATAGGGAATTAGTTAATTCTCCAAAGGAAAATTGAGTTGCTACTAGTAGAAGAAAATAAATGGATGCACGAGAGAGAAAATCAAAAGACATTTATAACCATTCAATTGTGTGTCCTAATCTTTCTTATGCTCAGGATCATGAGAATAATCAGCTACCTGAAAGTTAGAAATGACTAATTAGTGACTCACTGCCCTCAGGCAAATTTAGTGAGCATTTGTGAAATCTTTTCTCCGTCTCTTCCCAATTCAAATTTCTTACCTGTAGAAGCACAGATTTTAAAGACAGCTATGGTTAATCACATTCATAGCAAATAAGCAAGAACTGCCTTGGTCCATGTCCCCCTTTCCCCAGATTCTGGCCTATATACCAAGTGAACCTATCTGTCGTCCCCTCCTTTTGGATTCAGGCTTCCTCACTTTTCAAGACTTCAGATCTTCAGTAGACAGTAAGTTTATAAAAGGCACCTCAAAATACAAATATTTTTCAATACTGCAGGCGACCTATCTTTTTCTCAGACTTATTACGAGGCAATACAACAAAGTTTCTGGGAGCATGAATTTAAAATCCAACATATTAAGGTTTCTAGCCTTGCTGTGCTTTTGCTTGGTTCATGAGAACTTGCCTTATTTATTTTTCTTCCTTTTGTTTCTCTTTCCTCTGTAAAATGTAGACACCAAAGAGCAGTCATTAGAACCTGAAATGTTGCCATGACTTTTTTTGGGGGGGGGGGCGGTTGGGAAGGATTCTGTTATTTGAAATAAGGATCTTCAAAAATTAGTGTTTTGGGCTTCCCTGGTGGCGCAGTGGTTGAGAGTCCGCCTGCCGATGCAGGGGACACGGGTTCGTACCCCGGTCCGGGAGGATCAGAATTCAGCATCATTAAACCAGCTCTACAACAAATGCTAAAGGAGCTTCTCTAAGTGGGAAACACAAGAGAAGAAAAGGACCTACATAAACAAACCCAAAACAGTTAAGGAAATGGTAATAGGAACATACATATAGATAATCACCTTAAATGTAAATGGATTAAACTCACACCACAACTAGAGAGAAGCCCACGCCACAATGAAGAGCCCATGTGCTGCACCCCGACCGAAAAAAAAAAAAAAAAAAAAAAAAAAAAAGTGTTTTGCCTATTATCTCTCCTTCATCCTGTTGATTATGGGTCCCACGAAGTAGGTATGAAAAGAAACAATTATAGGCAAGTGGACCAGAAGTCCCAGCTCTATCATTACGTTTTGTACTGTAATGGTTTTCACACTATGCTCATACAAAAATCATGGTGTTACACCAATAAAATTGAATGTCATTTTTCATTAATTTCAGGCAGTAAGTTAATGAACAGAATTATTTTCAATTTAACTTTCTCGTATGTTCTTCAAATAGTGAGGCTGCTGCTGTTCACAAAAACTCAAAACATCTCATCGTTCTGCTTGGTGTATCCAATCCAAATATGATTATGATTATTATTATTATTTTGAAGCACAGCACACATACACCTACTTCTGGCTGGTAAAGCTGCGGTTTGTGTGGTGGCACTAAACACACTAAAATTACGTATTTCTGGGGAAAGAGCCTCTTAGGAAACCTGAGCTGAACAAGTCTGAAGAGCACTGAAGAGGCTGTTTCGGTCAGCGCGGTGTCTAGGGTCTACACCACAAGAGCCGGAGCTCTGCAGCCTAGGGGTTGGCCCTCGTCCCGAGTCTCCTCACTCACTGCCTCCTTCTCGAACATGCTAGGCCTCCTCTCTTTCCGAGGCGTCATCGGCGGCTGCTGAGGCGCCGCGGCCGAGGGCGGTTTCCCAGCCCAGCCCCGCTTCTCCATCGCGCAGGCTCCCGCGGACAATTTCCGCGACAGGGTTTCGCTCGCGCCTGCGCCGCGGAAGCCGGAAGTGAGCCGCAGGGAGGGCGGTGACGTAACGTGACGTGGCGTGGCGTGGCTTGCGTTATCCCTCGGCGCCGCGGACGGGAGCCGTAAGTCATGGAGGTAGAGTTGCGGTCTCCGTTTCTCCTGAGCGCGCCCCTCGGGGTGCGGCGCGGGAAGCGCCGTCCGGGCCGCAGCCGGTGCCGCGGCGGAGGAGGGCGGCCGTGCCTGCGCTGGGTGGGCGCCTGCTGGACCCGTCCCGCCCCGCCCTCCTGCTTCTTGGCGCCGCCCGACCCCCACGTTGTTCCTGGGGCCCGAGGTCCCCGCTTCAGTCCGCGAGGACATGGTGTGGGGGCCGAGGGGACGCCCCGCGCGCGTGTGGAGGCTCTGTGGCCGCCACAGCCACGGCCCGCATATGTTCACCGGGGCCGGGGGCGTGCACGCACAACGCGCCGTTGGTTATAGTTTTTGTTCTGACTGGCTTTCGCCCCTAAGGGAAGTTTTCGCTAGGTGGTACCCTGAGCAGTGTGGGAAGCATGTGTAGGAATACTCGCCTCTGGCTCACATTTGGAAGTCAGAATTACATTGGACATTTTTAGGCCATTTTGATAACGTAAAACTAAATCACAAGGGTTTCATTAACTGACCGTAGATCGGATTCAGTGGGGTTGCCTCAAAATAAGGATTTTACTTACATTCCTGTCTCAGGGAGTTCATTGTCAGTCATCTGTCAGCAGTTTTAGCACTAGCTGCTACTTTCTGAGTACTATGTGCTAGGTGCTTTTCAAGTATTATCTCTAATTACTGCAACCAGAAAAGGTGATAATATTTTGCACCGCTTTACAGTTAAAAGCCTCAGGTATGTTAAGTAACGTTTTCAAGGCAAGAGGTAAAGAGTCTGAGAAAGGATTCAAACTCAGATCATTCTAGCTCTCAAGCACAGGCCGTTTGCAGTACCCCATGCTGCTCTGGACAAGACTCTGAAGAGTATCAAAAATGGCGTGGGAGGTGCACACAGACATGCAGGGTTTCTGGCTTCTGGGGGGGGACAGGCATGTTCCTGCGTGTAATACCCAAGATGATGTATTTATTGTCATGAGTGACAATCAGATCATTGCAGCATCTAATGTTTGTTGATTTGAGGTTGGATTTTATTGTCTAACAGAGTATGGGCTTAAAAGTTAACCTAGAAGCCAACTTGTAGAATTGTATGTGTGTTGGTAGGGGTAGAATATAGCCATTCCTTAGATCTGAAGGTCTTGGAGACTTGGAGGGGTGTATTGCAGCTCAGGGTAGGAGGAGGCAATCATTCATGTAACTCTTCTTTTTCATTTATTGTGTGCCAGGGTCTATGCTATGTCCTGGGGATACAATGTTGTATAAGACGTGGTCTCTGTGCTCTAAGATCTTACTGTTTGGTTGAGTCTGAGGGACAACTGTGTTGATCCAGTGTCTACAACCAAAAGAGACCCTTTTTACAACTTCAGGTGCCAAATCCAGGGCCCACTCTGCTAGTGGAGTAGATGGGATTTTGTGCAGAAATAGCATTTCTGCTTGTCACCTGTCACCTGTCACTCCAGAACTACAGCTCATTCCTTTAGGGTTCAAATCCTTTTTAAAAATTCAAGGAGTCCCTTTTGATGTGAATGTGACCTTTTAGAGTTATATTTCTGTGTTAGTCCAGAGACAAACCACACTAGTTTTATGCATTCAGATAATTTGATATAAAGAGTTAACTAGGTAAAAATTGTTAGGATAAAAAGAGATCTCTGCAAGTAGTATTGTGGACACGGCAGCTGCGGGAAGCAGTCACTCCCCCTAGGACTGAGGGAGCTAAGGGAAGTGGTCGGAATTTTAAAGCTTAGAAACTTAGAGGAGGGCCCCTGCGTGGCTGAAACTCAGGAGTCTAAGGAGGAAACTGTGCTGCCCAGCTACGTGTAAGGGCCTGGCAAGTCTGGGAAGCAGAGTTCTGAAGGGAAGGCACTGACACATGGTGTTGTGTCTGTGGTGGGCATTCGGTGGTAAAGCTGGGCCTACAGGTGTCGGGAAGACCGCAGACTGAGTTCAGCTGCTTCTGCAGAGCAGTGCTCAAAGGAATAGGAAGCGCACAGGAAGCCCCAGGCTGCAGGCAGCGGGAGCAAGTCCCCCCTCACCTGCCGTCCCGCAGTGCTCCTAGGGGTGTGCACCGACTGGCTGAGCAGGTGTCCCAGAGGACCACTGAATATTCCACACGAGTCTCTTGGGCAACACCTCATCTGCTAGGGCCTGAAAGGATTGGTTGACAACCAGGCCTGAGAGGGGAAGTGAAGCCTTTGGGGACAGGAATAGCAGACAGGATAACAGGGTGATGCTGACCAGGATGGAGGAACTTAAGCTGGCTGGCTTCCAAATGAGGGAGCTGCCAGGACTTACTGATGTTAGAACACAGAGACCCCTGAACTTGATACATCACATAAAGACCCCAGGTCAGTTTTAGACCTAGAATGTGATCTCTTTGCAGGTTTATAAGATGAGCTTCGTGTAATGTCGGGAAAATTATGAAAATTTGGTTTTATTTAATCCTTCATGGAAAAGCAGTGTGGTTTGCTGCTTTTTACACCATATAGGGAGTCAGAGTTATGCTTTTTGCTTCTCTTTTAACTCATTATGCTTGATTTTCTGTTTTCCTACCGCTCATTAAAAAATGTTTATTTTGATAACTTTGGGATAGCAAAAGAATGCTGAAAGGAATAAGGCACTATCCATAAAATATACTGAGCTTCTGTAAATTCTTAAATACTATGATTAATAAAGTAATTAAAAAGCTTTAAGCATTTACTTGGAAATATTTGCGTAAGTAATCTTTAGTTAACATTTAATCACAATGTTTTAATCATATAGTTCTCATGACATTCAGAAAGTGTGTTAACACAGTAGCTATACCTGAGTATACTCTATACTCAGAATAGAATATACTCAGAATAAACAGAATAGAATTTTCATGTGACTTAAATATATACTAAAATTAATTTTTACTTCATGTTAAACAGTGTGTTTTATGTTTTATATTTCAGATATTAATAGAGGATCCTATTACCACGTGTCTTTCTCCTTCAGTGTATGATATGATTTGCAAACTCGGGTTTGAAGCCAGAGAAAATTGCGATATCAATAGTATTGTAACTCAAAATGGTGAAGTATGCTGGACGACAATTACAGACCGTGTGGTTTATACAGAATCAGGTTTGTATTTTCTCTGAAGCCCAAACGCCTGTCAATACTGTTGCATTTAAAATGTCTTGACCTGTAAAATTTCCCTCTCTGCTCATTGCTTTTTCGGTTAGGAGATGTTATAGTACAGCCTTAAATTGAAAGAGAAAAGGAATCCGTGTGGAAAGAGGGAATGAGGCAGAGAAGCATAGGAGAGTTAAGGGAAAGCTGGTCTCTGAAAACCAGGTATGAGAAGGAAGGGGTCGGGAGGCAGTGAGGGCTGAGGGGCTCTCAGCTTACGGCCCATGATCCACGTGGGAGAGGGAAGAAGATAGAAGTCATATGAATTAAGGGTATAGAATGACCAGTGATATATACAATTATTTTAAATGTCTTCCAGGCATTCTTATATGTCTTTTGAAATAGGGATGTGGGATGGGAAAAATAATAATAATTGTAAAAATTATAAACAAATGTGCTGTGGCCCAGCAATTCCATCCAGGAACGTACAAGACAGGCCCAGTCACAGGTATGAACGTGTGTTTGTGCCAAGTTACTGCGGCATTTTTTAATAGAAAAAAAAGAAGGAAAGAAAGAAAAAACATTGGAAATAGCCAAATGTCAAGTGGTAGTGGATTGATTAAATAAATTATGAGGGAAAAAAAAAAAATGCATGCAAGGGAATATTATGCAGTGGTGAAAAAGAGTGAGGAGGCCCATCTTTCTGATCCAGAAATCTCTCTGAGCTGTATGGCTGAGTGAAAAAATAGGAGGAGCACACACTTGTATTATTTGCTTGTGTGTGTATAAATATTTCTAAATACACCCAAGGAATTTATAACGGTAGCTGCTATAGGAAGGAGAACTGGTGGCAGGAGGGAGACTTTCACCCTTTTATATTTTTTGGTCGTGAACCATGTGAATGTTCAACCAAAACTTATCAAAAAAACAAAACCAAAAATTCATATTCTAAATACGTTCCAAAATAATAATAATTATTATTAATAATGTCATTGGAATCATTGGAAATCTCATAGTCTAATAATGTTACATTAAAAAATCAGGTTAAAATATATATAACAACATGAAGCTGATTTTGTACAAACTTATATACAGATAAAGAGATTGAAAAAATGAAAAAATACTTGTTCTCTTCTTTGAACCTTTCTTTATTTTTCAAACTCGCTAATGAGAGTTTTTCTTTTATAAGCAGATAAACACTATGTAACTTATTTTCAACAACATGAGTATCTTTATTGTAAGTTCAGTTATAAACTGGTTGCCAACTTTATGGAAATTTCATAATTAAAGCCCTTTTTCTTTGATGATTTAGGTATTTGCATCACACGGTGTGGAGCTGTGGTACTAACTTGCTTTCTTATCCTTGAAGCCCAGGGTCTGGATTACGGGGGAAGCGTGAGGCTGCTGGGCCCTGTATGCCAGGCTGTCCACTTACATTTGTCATCTCTGACCAAGGGGCAATTTGAAACGCGATATTCACCGGGGCTCCAGTGGACAGGTGTTCCAGAGGTTCGGCTTTTGAACAACCTTTAGAAATAAAAGACTGCAGATTCTACTTAGAGGCCCTTATTACTTGCTGATTTTAAAGGGATTTCCTCCATCCTCTGGGCCCTTAGCTGTAAGAAGGCTTGAGTGTTGCAAGGCAAAGTTGGAGCTGTTTGCAAAGCCCGCAAAGCCTGAGCTGAGACGTCCTTTGACCAAAGGAAGTTTTTGGATGCAGTGTCAGGTTTGGGGTTTAGGGACGTAGTTTGGTGCATGGGTGCTGGTCCTGGGACAGCTCCAGGAAAAAAGAAAGACCTTACAGACTGGTAGTAAAGTGTTCTTGAGACGGTGGGACCGGGAGACCGGAGGTGGGGATGCTTGGCTTGTTGAGGGCGAATAGAAGGGAGGAGGAATAGCTTGGGGCCCAAACCTTGTTTTGGATGGCTTGATGGTTGGTTTGGTGGTTGGTTCAAACCAACCATTTCACTTGGAACATTAAATGATTACAGTAGAGCAGTAACTATAAAAGAGTCTTAATTCTAAAATACTTCGGATTTCCTAATGTAGGGTGGAAGGGTGTTCCCTTTTCCCTGTGTAGTAGCTCCCTTAAGTGGCAGGGTGAGCTGCCTTATGTTTATCTATTTTTAAGAACTAATCAAAATAGGAAATAAGATTTAGATCAAAATATTTGACCTTTCAATTTACAGTTATGCCAGATTTATTGCTTTTAATAAACATTTAAATAAATAAAGAACTTTCCAAAAACTCCTTAGATATTGAACGTCTAAGGAGTTAAACATCTCTCTTGATTCTTTGGATATTGTTATATTTATATAGAAAATGTTTACCTATACCAAAAAAGTCATTAAAATATGCCAATTGAAATCATCAGACGTTTGAACTTCATTAATAGAACTGTGCCTTTGAGAAATAATACTTACTGAACACGAATTCTAACATATGTCTTATTCTAAACAGTTATTTCCTGAAATGTTTGGTGCCTTGGGAAGTCTTCAATCTCTTGCTATTTCTCTTAACTTAATGAAGCTGACATCATGTCTAGAGCGAGCCCTGGCTGACGTAAGTGTGAGGACTCTTTCGTTGTTGGTCCAGTAAAGTATCAGAAAGAACATTAACCTGTTTTGCAGTTTAGCTCAGATTTCTTGATTTTAAGTATTGTTTTCCTATACAGTCACTTAGCACAGATTTTTAAAATATTTTTCTTTTTGAATGATTATGAGATCAAAAACGTCGGTGTCTTCAGTACTTTTGTCCTCCCATTTGTACAGACACTTGGTTTATGGGCGATTTTTTTTGTTAACATCATCTGACTCATAATATGATTGTTACACAATATTTGTTTGAATTTTAGGTGTATTTACTGATTGGGAAGGAATGTCCCTTTCTTTTAAGAGATCTGATTGCATCTGAGGAGCTCGCTCAAGTCTTCGGGCAGTCTGTGGTAAGCTTGTTCACCTAAACCTGATGGAGTAGACACAGCACAAAACAGTCGATGTTAGCTGTACTTCTGTTCCTCAAAAATTGATGCTTTGGGCTTCCCTGGTGGCGCAGTGGTTGAGAGTCCGCCTGCTGATGCAGGGGACGCGGGTTCGTGCTCTGGTCTGGGAAGATCCCACGTGCCGCGGAGCGGCTGGGCCCGTGAGCCAGGGCCGCTGAGCCTGTGCGTCCGGAGCCTGTGCTCCGCAGCAGGAGAGGCCACAACAGTGAGAGGCCTGCGTACCGCAAAAATAAATAAATAATAAAAAAAAATTGATGCTCTGTTAGGAAAAAATTAATTTCAGTGATTCAAGCGTATTTTCCTTTCCCACATCCCCTTTCCAGCCAAAAGACACACCTCCCTCTTGTCCTGAGTGTTAATGTGGTTTGATAATAGCCTCTGGTGTGATGACTGCTGGTGTGAGGGCCTCAGGTGTAAGAGCCTCAGGTGTAGTAGTAACCTTTGATGTGATGACCTCTGATGGGATAGCCTCTGATATAATAACCTCTGGGGGGCCAGGCAAATGAGCAATTTGAAGTCTTTTGATCCACTGATTACGTATTAATTATAATACTGATTCTGCAAGTTATAAATTGTAATACTAACTTACTCTGTAATAAAATTTTAACCCTTTAAAGAGTGATATTATAGTTTTATTATTAAAAAAATCAATATTTTTAACATCCGAGAAATTATACCTTTTGCAGCTGTTCAAACTTACTGTGGAAAAAAATTTAGATGCCAATTAAAACACATGCAGAGCTATGTACGTTTTCAAACCTTCTAGAGGCCACATGATCAAGATCATTTAAGACCAATGAATAACCTTCAGGCAACTGAATAAGGCCGGGCTGAGGTGAAGGAGGAAGCCAGGGTAGTGCCAAGCCGGGAGGACACTACAAACAAGACATTAAGAAATCCGTTGTCAGTAGAGCTTTCCCACTCTTACGGTGGTTCCTTACCCCTTGTCAGCTTAAGGATTGTTTTCTTTGGTGGAGGGTGTAGAGGGAAGTACAGACTGCTTGGTGTCACGCTGAATTCTTAAGTTCTGTCATTTTCTCCTGCTCTTTGTTTTCTGCCTGTGTTGTGCAGTGAGCCTTTTGCCTACCCGCAGCCCTTTTAGCTCCCAGATAATTTTCCTGGTTGGTTGGCATATATATTTTTGATTGCCCAGATGGTATGAACAATTAATTTAAAATAATACTAAATTTAAAACAGTATTAAATTCTTTTTTTTTTTTTTTTTTTCTTGCGTTATGTGGGCCTCTCACTGTTGTGGCCTCTCCCATTTGCGGAGCACAGGCTCCGGACGCGCAGGCTCAGCGGCCATGGCTCACGGGCCCAGCCGCTCCGCGGCATGTGGGATCTTCCCGAAACGGGGCACGAACCCGCGTCTCCTGCATCGGCAGGCGGACTCTCAAGCACTGCGCCACCAGGGAAGCCCAAAACAGTATTAAATTCTTAATATTATAGTCATTAACATTTAATTAAGGTAATAGTAAAGTATTTAAAATTAGTGTGAGAGCCAAGACTTCCCAGAATAGCATTGAAGGACCGGCTGTCAAGCTTTTTGACATTGATTTGAAACCCCTCTTTATAACTTCCTGCCCTTTGAGGGAAATCCAGAATGCATCTGTTTCCTCTTCCCAGCGAGTCTTTAAGTTGTATGAAGACAGTTTCAGTCCTCTCCTGAGTCTCCTGGAGGCTCAGCTCTTCTTTCATGTGACGTGGGGTTGAGTTCTTTTAGACTCTGAATGGCTTCTGTTTTTCTGAATCTCCTCTAAGGTGTGGTGCTCCAGACCCAGAGGTAGCCCATGGAAAGGTATAATTATTGCAGTTTGATAAGCAGGGTCCTTGTATTGGGAGGGTCTTTGCTTTGTAGATGGAGGGACAGAGCAGGTGAACGGTGAGCTTCAAGTCAGAGAAGAGGCTGGAGCCTCTGTGGTCTGGCTCTTCATCACTGCCCCCTGTATTTTATTTTATTTTTTTTTTGCTGTACGCGGGTCTCTCACTGCTGTGACCTCTCCCGTTGCAGAGCACAGGCTCCGGACGCGCAGGCTCAGTGGCCATGGCTCACGGGCCCAGCCGCTCCGCGGCATGTGGGATCTTCCCGGACCAGGGTACGAACCCACGTCCCCTGCATCGGCAGGCGGACTCTCAACCACTGCGCCACCAGGGAAGCCCATGCCCTCTGTATTTTATCACGAGCACACGCTGCTTACTGTGGAGTTTCTGTTTATCACTTTCTGTTTTGTTTTATCTATATACTGGCCATGTTGATGTATGGTATGAAAGCATTGTAGCCTGGGTGGGATCTCATCCCTCTCTGTGGCTTTGTGGCCTCTGAAACCTTGGTCTCACCTCTCCTTGCTTATATTTTTCTCTTCTGCATAGTGGGAATAATAGTACTTTTCTCAGAGGTTGTCCTGAGGGTGAGTGAGTAACAAATAAACACAAAATGTGTCTAACATGTTGAATGCTCAGCAAGTGTTGGTCTATTATTATTGTTATCATTACTATATACCGTTGGTTCCATTAATTCCAAGAAGAGAGCTCACATAATCCCAGTGTTGTATTGGTTTACTCAGTGACCCAGTGATCTGCCCCCTCACTACCTAGATGGACGTGCTCAAGGTCTTCGTGGGCTCTCCGTGCGGACTCAACCTTCGCAACGTTCTGTGGCACGGCTTTGCGGCACCTCAGGAGATTCCTCCAAAGTAAGGTGCTGGGGGAGGGATTCTCTCTCTTTTCTGATATACTTAAGAGTTTGTTTTATTTTGAATTTCACATGAAGGAAAGATGTATTTTGAGAAGAATGAGAGTTTGGGGACAGGATTTTGAAGATAAATCTGAATGTTAGTGGCAGAATGGCGTGGTGATAGGGTTATGATTTCACTGACTTGCGCCCCAGAAGCTCAGGTGGTGACGGGCACAGCGCCGTGGTGCGTGGGAGACCCGAGGTTCAAGCTCACAGGTTTCTGAGATGTCGCTTGTCCTCCCGACCACAGCACAGCTCCATCCCCATCCCGTGGAGTTTTCTGCAATTTAATGCTGTTTTATTTTCTTAATTTAAAACTTTTTCTTTTGAAAGTAGAGCTTTTTATATGTGTGCTGAGTTCATTTTTCTAATGGATCTCTATGGTATTTTCACTAGATACTGTTCAATGATGATATTGTTGACAGCAGGATTGGGTCAACTACTAAAGGGTTACCTTCAACAAACTAAGTTCACATTGGCACATCGACCTTTCATAACTCTTACAAGCTTAGAGGATTTGATCATTTTCCCTGGTAAGTACCACATGCCACATTTTTCCTGAATATATCTCTGTAAAGATATTTATAGAGTTATTAAATAGCATTGAGACTTGAACTCTGTAGGCCGAATAGTTATTCTCCAGGGGCAAGATGCCTTTGAAAGTTTCATGAAGAACCTCTTAAATTTGGCCACATCAACGCTTACCTCTTCCCACAGTGTCCCCAGGGTTGTCTGAGGGCCACGGCTACGTGACTCAACGTTAATGATAAAGTTAGTACGTTGTGCAGATAATGTTGGCATACAAATGGCTTTGGACCAGTTTGTAACGCATTTTCCCTTCTCCTCTTAGCTCTCGTGCCTTTGTACTCATAATCCTTATGTCAAAAGTACCAGTAGCAGGGGCTTCCCTGGTGGCGCAGTGGTTGAGAGTCCGCCTGCTGTTGCAGGGGACACAGGTTCATACCCCGGTCCGGGAAGTTCCCACATGCCGCAGAGCGGCTTGGCCGGTGAGCCATGGCGGCTGAGCCTGCGCGTCCAGAGCCTGTGCTCCGCAACGGGAGAGGCCACAACAGTGAGAGGCCTGCGTACTGCAAAAAAAAAAAAGAAAAAAATAAAGTACCAGTAGCATAAATGTTCTCCTGTATCATCTTTTGTTTTCTTTTCATGAGAAAGCCATTTACCAAATTAGTGGGGTTGGGGGACACAGGACTTTGAAAGAGCAATTAAACCATGTGTTTGCTCCAGGCTCATTCTTTTCCACTTTGGCTGAAGTGTTGTGTCTGTATTTGCTGATGTTAATCCTGGAGGGAACAGTACAGATCATCGTGGTCCCGGCAGTCTTAGCCTTTTTGTATCATGGATCCTTCTGGTAGTCAGGTGACTGCCAATAATGTATATACTCTTTTTTTTTTGTGGTACGCGGGCCTTTCACTGTTGTGGCCTCTCCCGTTGCGGAGCACAGGCTCCGGACGCGCAGGCTCAGCGGCCATGGCTCACGGGCCCAGCCACTGCACGGCACGTGGGATCTTCCCGGACTGGGGCACGAACCCGCATCCCCTGCATCAGCAGGAGGACTCTCAACCACTGTGCCACCAGGGAAGCCCAATGCATATATTCTTTAAGACTTTATTTTTGTAGAGGAGTTCTGAGTTTATAGCAACATCAAGAGGGAGGTGCGGAGATTTCCCGTCCACGCCCCCCCCGCCCCCCCGCATAGCCTCCCCCATTATCAACATCAACATCTCCCACCAGAGGGTACATTTTTTACCAAGGATAAACCTACATTGACAAGTCATAATCACCTTAAGTCCATAGTTTACCTTTGGGTTCACACTTGGTTCCTGTATCTTCTGAAGATATATTTAATTTTTTTGGTCAGTGTGGTCAGCTTGTTGACCCTGAACTCCTCTCCTCAAAGTTGTTGTAGCTTAAATCACTAAAGAGATGTAGTTGCCCACGTTCCCTTTTTCCAAGGGTGCCTGTGGTCACCTGCAACCCTGGCGCTAGTTCAGGTGGTCTCACGCTTAGGTGGCACGCTGCCCGGGGCCCACAGTTTATCTTCCTGAAGAGGTCGGCTCAGTGGCATCACTCCCTAAGTGTGTTTACACCTTTTTTTTCAGTTGATTAGTGTGGTTGTGCTTAAAAATATTTGCTATTTTTACAGATGTTACTTATGAGGTACTTTCAGTATTAGAAGAAGTGATGAAGAAATCCACTTTTATACTAGAAATCATGTTGCCATATTGGGAAGTCGCATTGATCAACTTCAAGTCTCACAGGTACCTGAAGTGCGGCATTACAAAGTGGTCATTGGCAGCTTGGGGGCCAGGCCTTAACACCCTAACCTTCCTGCTTTGTCGCTATTGGAGTTGGAGCAGGTAGGAGTGGGACTGGCTCAAGAGCAGACCCGAGCAGAGAATATCTTCATATAATTAACTAAAAGGCATCTTGTAACTGTGTTTTAAACATTATTTTTTGTACTGTTTTTGTACAAATAATAAAGATAATTATTTTTTATTTAACTAATGAATTTATTTTTATTTAAATATTAAAAAAATTTTTTTTGGCTGCACTGTGCAGCTTGTGGGATCTCAGTTCCCCCATCAGGGATTGAACCCGAGCCACAGCAAGCAGTGAAAGCCTGGAATCCTAGCCACTGGGCCACCAGGGAACTCCCTGATAATTATTTTTCAGAATCAACTTATTAATATTTTTTTGAGTTCTTACTGTGACTGAAACATAGTGTCCAATGTTAGAGAATCATGAGAGAAAGAAGATGACAGTTTGTCTCTATGTTCCCTGGGGAGCAAGCCCAGGAGTAGAAGCATCAGGAGGTCAGTGGTCTTTACTTCCTTTCAAGTTACCTTATCCTGATATGTACATTTGATTGGATACCTTGAGAACCCACTGAAATCCTGGTTTCTGAGTATTTTTTAGAAGTGATGAAACAAGTTTAGCAGATCTTTGATGACACTTTATTCTACTGCAGCTGCTAAAAATGTTTCATCATACATTAAAACACTGGAAAATAGTTTTACAGCCACTGGTCTAATGAGACTTTGATTCTGTTTTTGTTTCTCATATTAGTGAGTAACGTCACTCCTCCTTGCTTTGGACACATATTGGTAGTATCTGGAATGCAGCACCCTTATTATGGTGTTGGTGCCAGTGTTTACTTTGAAAACATGAAGTTTTACTTATTTCCTTCAATTTCACAGGTTTGCTGACTGTGCCATATTGTTATTGGTGCAACTAGAGACTGGACTTAGGAAAGTTTTTGCCACAGTTAACAAATGTCCAAAGAGACTTCTGACTGCTGAGGTACACTGCTTTAAATAGTTGATGGTGACTGTTGTTGCTGTATTGACGTTTTCCCGTGCCTAATTGAAAGCTTTTAATATCATATTTTTGCTTATTGTTAAATGAATTTTTTAACTAAGAACTTTCTTTGGAAGGCTTGACTGTCATTTTTTGTGGCTTCCTATTGTGATTTTATATGTTATATATTTATTTTATCTGCGATTGTCTCTGAGGGTTCTGTCATATTTCCAAGTAGTATTTTAAACCTAATGGTGTCATAAAATGAGTTGACGCTTATGTTTTCTCTGTAGCCATATTTACTGGTGTACTATTGTAACCCCATGAGGTGGGCCGTGGGTGGTCTACAGCATGTGCCCTTCTCGAACGATACTGCTTCCCTTTGGCCAAAACTGCCAGGGAGGCTTAGCGATGTCTCTGGTGGGTGGCCATGGGCCTAGTTAGCTATGGGAGAATCCATTAGGTAGGGGAAAGGGAGAATATATATTATGGGACAAACAGCAGCATCTACCATACTTGGTATTCTTGTTTCTTTCACTAGTTCAGCTTCCTCTTTGTGCCCCTTTATATAGGCATTCCTCAGAATTCTGTTCTCAACCCTGTACTCTCTTTGTATTTATTCCTTGGGAGACCTCACATAATACCTTAAGCTATTACCTGTGCGGGAGCAACACCAATTAGTAAATACTTTGAAACTAATAAAAATGAAAGCACAACATGGCAAAAGTTGTTGATGCAGCTAAAGCAGTGTCAAGAGGGCAGTTTATAGCATTAAGTTCCAGCAGTCTCCAAGGCATTGTCTCTAACTCATGGTTCTTTGATCTCCTGAGTTAGGTTTACACCTGTTTGTTGAATATCTTCATGTGAGTTTTCCCCAGCATCTCAAATTTACTTTATTTCAGAAAAGCAAATTTTTTCTTCCACAAATTTGTTCTCTGGTGTTCCTTATTATCCTTATCCTCTGAATTGCTCTGCACCAAGCTTTAGTACCATTTTATGCTCTGCCTGCCCTCCATTCTCCTCATGGACTTGCCCTGCCGCTCGGTTCTACCCCTGATTTGTCTTGTGGTCCTTCAGTGCTGAGGCATCACCTGGCTCCCCATCATACTCACCTGGTAACTCATCTTCCACAAGTCTTCATGATTCTCCTTCTCTAATCCATTCTCACACTGCCACTAATTATTTTCTAAACTCACGAGTATTCCTGTGTCTTTTATGGTTTCCTCTGCTTAGAAAACTTCCATGGCTCCCAGCGCCGCCTACGAGGCTTACGCTTCTGTATGGCTTGTAAGGATGTCAGAGTCTGGCCTCAGCCTTTCTCCAGTTTGTTTTCCCTCTGATTCCCCAGCATAATTTAAGCTCCTCGCTAGTTCCTGAACATGCGTGTCTTTCCTCTCACTTTGCCCACTGTCCCCTGCCTGACCACTCCCAGCCACAGTGGTGACCTCCCAGAGCCACATCTACTCGGATCTAACAGCTGCTTTTCTCTGCGTTCTCTTTCTGTCTTATCTTGAGGCAGTTCTGCTTTGCCTTATGTGCATTTTTGTAGAGCTCTCTGGTGTAGGCCCCTTTGGAGTGGGTCATCCATATATGTCCGCTGGTGCCCACACCCGGTGCCTTTGATGTAGGCTCTGCCCAGTCCAGTGTTGTGGAGTGAAGCCTGGGTCTTCCAGCAGAAACTAGAGCCCCAGTTGTTAGCGTTCACTCGAGTGCTCTTAGAATGGACTTCATGGTAACATGACGAGTCACTGCACAGCTCTGTGGTGTCATGAATTTGGTTATTTAGTTGTCATTTCACTGCACAAATAAATAGTGTGACTGTTTCTACAGAGGATGTAGTTTATCGAAGAATATCTTAAATTTTAGCCCAGGCTTTTATCCAGAATAAGCATAGCATCAATTTATTTACAAAGCAATACATACATGAAAATTATAAAGTGCTGTGCAAATGCCATGATTATTTATTGAATACTTGTTATGGCATAAGGTCTCTTCAGAATCAATGAAGGATATGAAGATGAGCAAAGACCTAGTGACTTTTAGAAGCTTGTGTGTATTGGGGTAAGAGATAAGACATTTATACCAACTCCATAAAATAAGGTAGAAGTTGGGCATTCCCTGGCACTCCAGTGGTTCGGACTACGCAATTTCTCTGCTGTGGCCCGGCTTTGATCCCTGGTCAGGGAACTAAGATCCTGCAAGCTGCACAGCGTGGCAGAAAAAAAAAAGGTAGAAATTAATTTACATCGTTTATGGAGATGAATGAAAAGTTCAGCTTTTTTGAGGAGGTAGTGGGGATATTTAGGAGGCAATTGAATATTTAGGATAGAGCTTGGAAGAAATTTTAGGGTCAGCAATACATGGGCTTTAGAGTCATCTGCACAGTAATAAATGTTCAGGAGTATTTGATAATATTAAAATGAAAATATGTTAATAAGCATTAATAAGTATAACGCATTCTTGAGCACCTGACTTCCACAAAATACTGATTTTGACACACTGTGTGTAAAATCCTACTGAATTCCCCAGCAACCTTTGAGATGGGCATTCCTCACTTCCAGTTTTGCAGAGAAAGAAGTGCTCAGGGTTTCACTTGTAGAAGGTGTGGAAGTTGGGATTAGAGTGCTGAGGCAGCCTGGCCCCGAGCCGTGTCTATAAAGTCTGGGCTAATTATACCAAGAAGCATGAAAAACAAAGGCTATTTGTTGGAGAAAATATTCAGTTGTGCTCACTTGCACACAAATACCAGCCATCAGTAGAAGTGCTCTGTGTGAGTAGTGATTTGTGAAGTTGTGGCATCATAAGTGTTTATCTGAAAGATGTTAAAAAAAAAAAAGAGGAAAAAAATGCTTGGAGAGTAAAATATTTAAGTATGCTAGTCAAATGTATGCTTTAAAAGCCCAGTTTGTATGAAGAAATTGAACAGCCCTTTTACCCTTAATTTGCAAAATAAAAATGCTATTTTCTTATCAAGTCCTTAAACTCAATTACAGACTTTAAATTCAAATTTATAAGATCATAAAGACCTGTTAACTGAGATATGCTGATTTAGATCAGACCTCTGGAAATCTGAACTATGATACTTCTGACTTTTATTGTCATTTCTATCTAGTATTTATTACTGCTTTCACTCAGGCCTGATTCTCAAATATTGGCATTAACCTAAAATGGAGAGCTAATGATTGAAGTCACAAATAAGCCAGATGCTTTCTGTCTGTGATCAGTAGTCCATGAACAATAAAAAAACATTTCTCAACAGAAAAGAAAAAAAAAAAAAGTATCTGAGCTACAGTACTTGTTAGAGCAGTATTCTAACACAGCTAGACTGCCAGGGTTGCTGTATTTTCATGTCTTTTATATTGTGTTTATGTTGTCAATGACATTCTTCCTAAAGTGTTGCTAGATAAAGATTTATTTACAAAAAACGGTTTCATATTTGTGGCCCTGTGCTAGAATTTTTTCCTGCTTTGAATAGTGTCACACTACTTGTATTTTGCTTTAATTATTTCTTTTATTTCCTTTTCTGAAGTCAACAGCTCTTTATACTACCTTTGATGAGGTAAGTAAACTTATAAGGTATTTTGAAACAAATAAAACATTGTATTCTTTTAAAATTAAAATTAAAGATCAGCCATAAATCATATGCTTATGCAACTTAGGAAAAAGTTGATAGTCATATAAGCAAAAGAAAAAAGAAAAAGGTGATGATAGTGTTGAATATAGTTTTCAGACTAATTGAGATCCAGTCTTATTAACCTAGTTTCTAAAGTTATGGAAAGGCCATAACATACATATATACATATATACACACGTATATACATGTACACATACACAGTGTTTGCACATACACATAAAAATATATACGTATACCTGTATACACACACTACACATAAACACACAAATACACATATATATGCACATAAATGCACACACACATATATACATGAAAACACATAAACACACCTATATACATGTAAATATACATAAACACATACACAATTAAGAATACATATATATGTCTTCTTAAAGTCATTGTATTGGTTGAGAAAACCTTTTCTGAACAGGTGGTTGCTACGTTCTTAAGACTGTCCTTATTTCATTTAATCTGCTTTGGACTTACACAGCATGTCATACCAAATGTACAATATCTTTTGACACTGAAAGTTCTGTATATGTACCAGTTAATCAACTTACTTCTTTTTGGTGTTTTAGATATTGGCAAAACACTTGAATGATGGTAAAATCAATCAACTTCCTCTTTTCCTTGGAGAGCCTGCAATGGTAAAGTATTAGGCATTTACCATCTAACATCCTTGTATTTATGGATGTGATTAGCACTTCTCAAAAATGATGTTAATTTTGGCTTGTGACGTGCCCATAAAAAATGCTTCTGAAGCATTCTCATGTCTGAACTTCATTGTCTGTGCAGCTGTCGTTTGCTGGCTCTGAGCCCAGCTCAGGTACTGTGCTTCATGCTTTTTGTTTAAATGTCCTTCTCCTGAGGCCTGATGACTTAGCTGACCTGATTCTGAGCAATATTTGAATTTGTGGGTTTTGTATTGCGCTGGTAGCAGGGACTGCATTTGCTTCGTGAATGACAGCAGTCAGATGCAACTAGTAAGACAGAGTGTTGGATGAGAGAAGGTAGTTATTTAGAGCCATTTTCTATTTATCACAGTTTTGTATTTTATGAAGTTATTGCAGTGACTACTTTGGACTGTAAATAGAATTTTCATATTTTCTCCTTTTAACTGGGAGTTAGCAACCTAGGTTCCAGTTCCGGCTGTGTGACACTAGTCAGATTCCATACGCTCTCTGGGCATCCTTTCTGCCATCAGGAAATTAGGATGATTGAAGCAGTCTGTCTAATTCTGTTTGTCCATCAGCAGTTTGCCTGGGTCAGCAAGTTGGGTTTTCTGACTTATTTTCCTCTACGTTGTGGAAGCGTCCTTGGATTTTTGCCATTAAGAAAGAAGCAGTGTCTTCATAGGGCTTCAGAAGTAAACGAGTGATGTGAGAAAGGACATGTAAGAAGGAGAGCCATGAGGGGAAAGAAAAATGGTGTTGTCCATGCAGGAGCACAGCAGTGGATTCTTTTATTGATTGGAAAGTTGGCTTCCAAATGTGGTCAACTCAGTTCTCGTTTTTCACAAGGGTGAGAATGAGAAAGGGTACTTTCACTAAGCACTGGAGCTATGCAAGCAGCTTTGTAGCCCTGGTGGTGAGTTCTACAGACTTCTTAGGTTCTTATCAATCAGCCAAGGAGCAGATACAGAAACAGGGCTCCCCAGGATATCCTACCTGAAGAGCAGGATTTACAGTTAGAGACAGCAGGGCACCCTCAGGGGAGTCCTGCCTGAGGGGTGGGGTGCAGTTACAGAGGACGGGGCGCCCTCAGGGGAGTCCTGCCTGCGGCGGTGGGGTGCAGTCCTGCCTGAGGTAGTCGAGTGCAGTGATAAAGCCAAGAGATCCAGGGACTATCGTAACTTGATACTTTTCTGTTGTGTGACCTTGAATGACTTTCTTTTTCAGGCTAACTTTTCTGTAATGAACATTGCTGCTCCTCAGATGTTTTGGGCTTGCCCTTTCTGGGCCTTCGGACTTTCCTTCTTTCTGCTGAGAATACTAACCAAATATTTTCTGTGTCCTTTTTTTGATAGGAATTTCTCTGGGATTTCCTGAACCATCAGGAAGGTCCCCGTCTAAGAGATCGTTTAAGCCATGGGGAAGTCAGTTTACCTGAATTTCCAAAAGAAGCAGCCAATCAGTTGCTTGCATTTTCCTTTGTACTTTTACTCAGATTTATTGATGAAGATCTATTATCAGTGTTTAAGGTAATGTGTAGGAAAGAAAATTAATTAGATTCACTATCATTAAGTTATGAAGGAATGTAGTTTATTTTCAAATGTAATTATATTTTAATCATCTTTTAATTTATATGAGTACAGTGTGCCTCCATCTGAACATGTGTACATGTGTACAGGTATTCTCTATAACAAATAAATCAATATTACTTGATCTCACCTAAAATAATTCAACCTATTTCCTAAGCATACATTTGCTTGTGTTTTTAACAGTGATGGGATATTGCAAACCAGAGAACAAAGTATAAAACAGGATTAACTAAGTAAATTGGAAAAATTTACAGAGGACTATTAAATGAGAGAGTAGAATATTTGCATTTGTCAATAAACTGTAATTCTTTTATATTTTAAAAGAAATAATTTAGGTTAGATTGTTAGTTATATATATATATATATATATATATATTTTTTTTTTTTTTTTTTTTTTTTTTTTTTTTTGCGGCG